TTCAAAAAATTTTAAATTTTTCAATAACAAGAACATAAAGTGGGACCAAGTAAATTAAGTTCTAAATGATATAAGCCGGAAAGATAGACTAAGCAACACAGACTCCAACTTATGCCTAGAACAGATTAACTCTGTGGCACTCGATGTATGCTCAAGGAATATTCCTTTAAGAAAAAGGAGTAGATGTAAAATAAAAGAGACAGGCGCCCCCTTTGCAGGCAATGGAAAAGAAAAAACAGAGCGGCTAAAAGAAACCAATATATCTGCAGCACGCAGGGAGACAGACACTGGTCAGAGAAATAGAAAACATCGAACTAATCCGGAATTTTAAATCGAGTCAGAAATGGCGGGAAGAACTAAAAGCCATAAATGAAATCGAAAGAAACCCATAGTATTTCTTTTCATATGCCAAATCAAAGTCGAGAACAACATCCAGTATTGGGCCCCTACTTAAACAAGATGGGCCCTACACAGATGACAGCCAAGGAAATGATGAGCTACTCAAGTCCCAATATGACTCAGTTTTTAATAAGCCGTAACCAGACTGAGTGACGAAGATCAAAATGAATTTTTTGTGAGAGAGCCACAGAATTTGGTAAACACAAGCCTATCTGATTTTAAACCCTGACGCCAAATGACTTCGAACAGGGCGATAAATGACATGCCCAGCACTCTGTCCCAGGGGCCCAACTCACGGAACTCCGTGTTCATCAAGAACTACAAGAAGCTCCTATCACGTGCTTTTAACATCCTATGGAGAGGGAGCATGGACACTGGGGTCGTCCCACAGTTACTAAAAAAAACAGACATAGCCCCACTCAACAAAGGGGCAGTAAAGCAATAGCAAAGAACTACAGACCAATAGCGCTAACATCTCATATCATAAAAAACTCCACCTCGCCTCTCTCCCCTCCTTCCTCGATTTGGAAACTCAGCCATTCGCCTTTTTACTTATGGTCTAGAGGCGGTTTTTGCCAGACCACCCTAAATGCTTGAGTGCCCGTGTCAGTCCTTCGTGCCGCACTCCATTCATCTTACGAAAATGTCTCCTGTGTGCCCACCTGCCTGCTACAAGCAAATATCCAAGTGGTTGACCGGGGTTAGCAAGCACATTCAAGCAGGCTTGAAAGCAGCATTCCAAGGCCCAGCATGTCTACGTATACGTTCTACAGTGCTGCTGGCATACCAGTGTTTCCTGTAGTGGCTTAGTTAAGAACAATTTAACGAGCATTCAGACTAACTTTTGAAGTGGGACATGCCAGAGGTTCACCTATAAACATAGTAAGTTTGTGCTAGAAGGTTAAGTGCTGCAGATTTGTTGTAACTATTGCACGAGTGGATTTCAAATGACTTAGGCAATTGTGCTACCATCAGTACCTACGTAGGCTTAAAATGAGTGAGGAATGTCTGGCCTGCTGGGTGACCTTGAAAATGGCACTATAAGACCCGCATGCCACTTACACCCATACTGCGTGTGCTAGTGAGGGAATGTCCCTTCCC